TAATAATACATAATAATAGTACATAATAATAGTAAATAATATCTAACTACCCCTCAGTTTGTTCCACAGCTGTTTATCTAAAAAAAAGCCAAATTGGCTTTATTTTCTGCTCACTAAGCGGCAGCACTTGTTGCTTTGCTCCGCGTCTGATTATGTTTCTGCTATTCTTTGAGTTTCTGCTAGTTTCTTCCTTTAGTTATTTGAAATCTTATGCGCTCGCTCTCATTCAATCTCTCTCTCTCTCTCTTGCTCTCTGTCTTCCTCACTCTCTTGGAGTGCGCTGTGCTGATATATGAAGAAATATCAAACATTTTTAGTGCTTCGCAAGAGTGTGGGGCGTTAGGTGCTCTTCTTCGGTTGCGGATAAATTAGCTTTCGGCTAGTGGCGCAGCTAAAGGCTGCTCGCCGCCGACACATGCGAGCGCATACACATACACATACACACGTGCGCATATACGCACGAATACTCACTTCATAAGATCTTGCCGCATTTATTATTCAATCGTATTCGCTTAAGCAGTATAGTGCAGGGCAGCGGTAAGCGTGCGAGCAGTGCAACATACATACATACATACATACATACATGTATATGCATATATGTAAGCCTTTGGAACATATGGTACGGAAATGGCGCACTTGGTGGTTCAAGTAATTGAGCGGTGCGAAAATGCAAAGGAAAGTGCACATTTAGGTAAGGTTTGACCTTCATATAATAATATAAATATAAATATAAATGTGTATATATAGTCACACATCCATATACATATGTATGTAGGTACATGTGTATGTTCAGGTATTTGTATAAAAGTGCGTGTGTCATAAATAGTTCTCAATTTGTAGGCGACATATGTAAGAAAATACATACATACATACACACATATGTAGTTACATAGATACAATGATATATGTACATATGTATAGGTCTACATTATATAAATGTGCTATATAAAAATATCAACAGATGCTTGACTAGAGCTTTACCTTTAAGCATTGAGTTATTGTTGTTCTTTTTTATGTATGATAATGACTGACTATGACTATACCCTGATTCCTTCATGTATCGTTATTCTATTCAAGAATGCCTGACTAAATGTGAATACCCTTCATTGTTCATTTGAAAATGCTCCACTAGAGCATACTCTAAACCATTGAGTTGTATTGAGAATACCCGACTAGAGAGTTGTTGTAGTTAACTTGTTATTCTCTCGAAGAATGCCGGAGTTATGAGAATACCTGGTCGTGAGTCATCATTTGTAACCTTTGTCAATGATTTAGTTGAGAAGGTCTGATTAAAGAATACCCTAACCTCTTCTAGCTTAGCCTTAACTTTTATTCAATATACTATGCATATATAGTATTCACATATGTATTTCCCATATATTGATATATCCTCAACTCTCTTTTTCAGATCTATCAGAATGTGAACTCATGCAAATACCAGATGCAGTGTATCACCTGATGCGGAATACAGAGCTACAAACGTGTAACCTTAGTGGCAACGTGCTGAAGAAGGTGACGCCAAAGTTTGCGCTGAAGTTTAGCGCAATTACAGGTATTACAATATAGCTCTGTATATAATGCGAGTTTGTAATGCATTTCGATTGATGTCATTTTCAGATCTCAATCTCTCATATAATCAGTTGTCAAAGCTGCCAGACGAATTTGCCAATCTGAGTGCTTTAACTAACTTAAATATCTCGCATAATTCGTTTATTGTATTACCTCAAGTCGTCTTTAAGCTTCAGAAGCTAGCCAGTTTGGATGCTCAACATAATGCCATTTTGGGTAAGTACTGAGACCCATTAGTTGGTTAAGCCCAATAAGCATTCCCATCGATCCTCATTTTCAGAGATCGACACGGACGAAGCAATCAGCAGTGATTGCCTGACTGTGGTGGATCTGCGCAATAATCCGCTGAGCAGGAATTGTCGTCGCAAATTGGAAGATTTTGTCACCAGTTTTCGCCTAGAGATATCACAGGAAGCTGAGGACGATTGGTGATCGACTGGAAGGAATCGAAATAAGTGCATTGTTATTTATAGAAAAACCCATTTACTGTAATGTTTTTAATCATTTTATTAAATTCGTTTATTTAATGAAATTCGCCGACATCAGTTGGATTATTATTTATGAACTGTACGGAAATAGGCGCAAACACAACTGATCCTAGCCTGTGATCATATCAGAATATCTTAGCTTAGTTTAAGTATTTTAACACTGGAATTTATAAGATCAGGTGAAGTGACATAATATAATAAAAAAATAGATATGTTTTTCCTTACCGAAATATTAAAATGTAAATATTTTGTATCTCACTTATCTCTTCAATTCCAGTAAATATAACAGTAAAAATTTAATATTGGACTATATTTGGAGCGAAATATAATTACTGCTGGGAAAGTTTAAAATACTAATTAAAGATCGACTCGATGTCATATATGTATGCACAATATTATATTCAATGTATTAATTATATACATACATACATGTCAAGGAAATCAGTGCACTATGGGCGATTTTTCGATTTTGGCGGCATAAAGTATAATTTTTTGTTGTATTATATTACTAATATTTTTCTTGAATTTCGGATTTTTTTTCTCTTAAATTGTGCTACGCCTTTTTTCGCCCCCTTATTAAGTATACGTAAATTTCATTTTTTTTTTTTTTTTTTTTTTTTTTTTTTTTTTTTTGAAATCTCTTCATATATAGGGAAAAAAAATCTCTGCAATAACTTTGGAGGAAACTTTAAGTGCATTTTTTTTTTCAAATACCATAAACTGGACATATTGCTTAGTAACATGCCATTATTAGTTGTATGTTTTGATATGCACTTTGTAAGTAATACTCCACGGAACACAATTAAAATTGTTAGATTTTTTGCTAAAAATACAATCAGCAATAACACTGGACAATAAAAAACACACAAACATTTATGTATGATACATAATGTTAGCTACAGATAACAAATACCTTGAGCTTTGTTTTCCTTTTTAATTTTTTATTTTAAATGAAAACACAAACAATTTGTCCATCTAATTGGAGTGTTAACAACTAAGGAATAATAAACTTTTCTTAATATTTCACCATCAATTTTTGGACTTTATGCCGCCTATCACGGAAAATCGCCCATAGCGCAGTGTAATAAATATTATATATACACGCATATGTGTATGACATGAAGCAGACATTTTAGTTTTGATTATAAATAGTATTAGAATCGGTAAAAAGGAGTATTTTCATATACGTAGTTTTGTAGCGTTAATAAGTGCGCTAGGCTTTCCTTTTTTAATGATAATCAGATACGAAATCCAACGCTGCTAGAGAGCTACTCACATTATATAGTTAGAGTATCATCCGAACTTTGAAATTTTCCTCAATTTATACCGATTGGTTAAATAGGTATTTTCTCACATTTACGACCCGGACTGTTACTCTACCCGATCTACAAACTATGACTATCAACCATATTTCCAGCTTACTTAAATATAATAGGTCTTGCTCCAACTTTATAAAACTTCTATCCAAGTTATAGATCTCACATTGAAAGACTTAAAACTGCACAAACATTCGATCGTTATGGTGTCATTTGGAGTGGAGCCAAAAGGGGAGAATCGGGTTGGGAAAGCTATAGTAATGCTTTTATTGCATCTAAATATTAACCTTCAACGAGATCTTCAAAAATTTGCGTATTCATACAGACAGAGAAAATGTTTATTCTATACATAAGAATATTACGTAACTCATAGTGCTTTGTTATAGCAAATTAGTCTTACATCCAAATCGCTATAGATAGAAACATTATTCAATGATGTGGCAATTTTCAATGTTAAATTGTCACGCAATTTGGAAACATAGAAATAGTTCCACATCTCTGCCTAAAATCTAATATATTCACAAAATATTTATAAGTAATACAAGTATGAAATCTAATATGTCAGAGCATTCGAATGCATTGGAGTGTATAATACTCTATCGAAGTCTCTGAAATTATCACTTCAAACATAATTAATATAATAATTAACATATCAGTAGCTGTAGAGTGTATGGGGTCTTCTGTTTTGACACAGCGGAAGAATACTTATTTGAGAAAGCTCTTAAATCGAAAAGAAGCTTTTAGATTAAAATTGGTCTAATATATAGAATGTTATCTTAATACTGATCGATAAATTCCATTACAGAGAGACAGCATCAGTATTTAGGGTACTGCCTATCAAACCACATATAGTCGGATGGTTGTACAAAACCCAATATACCCCATTCCACTGCGTGCTTGAGTATAAAAACAGCTTGTCAGCCACTTTACTTCCCCACAATCGGATTAAACTCTTCAGAATTAAGACTTTAATGCTATGAAAAATGTAGTTCTGTATAGGCGTACAGGCATGTAGAAAATAATACGCAAAGAATTTGCATTATAGGATCAAAGATGTTTTCGTTTGATATTCGAGGAATGCAATGTGCGAAACTGGGTATGTGGGTTTTCTAAGAAATATGCCTATGACTCAAAGCAGAATCGAACTGGCGAGCTGTGAGCTAGAGAAATGCTGTCATTAAATCACATTTTAGTCATCACTTCGCAGAGTCACTGGCGAACAAAACCTCTTTGAGAGCCGAGCTGGGCTGAGCGGAGCTGAGCTGAGCATCGGCATTAATTGTGCCTATGTCTGTGCGCATTGTCTGTGCTCAATGAGAAGGAAAACTTAACAACGTGGCGCTCACCGTCAAACAAAGTCGATCTGCAGCTCTTTCGTAGTCAAGCTCTCAACTCAGCACTGCTGAGAAATACATAAACAGAGCCAGAGAAACAACCAGAGACGGTGCATGAGACGGTGCCAACGCAATGATTATAGCGAACATAACAGGTTTGGCAGCATGCCGAGAGAAACTTGTACAGATACTGAATCCGATGCTGGTGCCGAGATACCCAACCCTACCGAGCCGAGCTGAGCTCAGCTCTGGCCAGAGACTCGCGGCTAGTTGATCGCAACAGTTTAGAGAGAGGCGGATGGGGCGGGGGAATGCTGGGGGACGAAGGCCAGCTTTAGCTTTAGCTGGTTCTGGCTATAAAAATTCGTCGCGCTCCGCTGGGCCAAGGGCGCAACAGGGGCCAGAGGCGTGCTAGCCGTTGGAGAGGGGGGACAGGGGTGGACAGAAGGGAGCTGAGCTGGCGAACAAGTCAAAAACCGCGTCGCTGAGCAGAGAGCGACTGAGAGTCGCAACTCGTAATGATTAACTCACACACACACGCACGCAAGCAAGCAGAGAAGCAACTAGATACACACACACACACACACACACACAGGTACGCACAGAGAGATACAGATACATACGTGGGCAAAGCTCGAATGTTGGTAAGCCAACATGGTTAAAAGTGGCAGCCAAGCTGAGTTGAAGCGGGAGTGGGAGCGGGAACGGGAGCGGGAGCGGGAGCGKAAATGGCCGACGCTGTGTGGAGCAGCGCCAAACGCTCGCTCGTAGCCGTCAAATGGCAAACAAACGCAACAGTCGCAAGCAGGTAATCTACTAGAGCGCGTTCGGGCCCGGACAAAATATTATTGGCCGCTTGCAAAGAATTCACAAAAAAATAGAAAAAATTTAAATTATAATAACGAACGAACAACAACAGCGAAACAAAAACAAAAAATATATAAACATCGAATCGCGACGCATATAAGAAAAATCTTTACAAAATTTTAAACAAGAGAAGCTCGTCCCGCAGTACCGTTGCGAAATTCTGTTGTTTACGGCTTGATGTTCATGCATATGTATGTATATATGCATAGACGATTTACGGTTTAGCTAACGTTCAATAGAGTACAGTGCATATCGGCTAAAGTGAGCATTGCATATTTATCCATTTGGGCTTTCAACTGTGCTCATTCACAGCCATTGCATGCGATTGGGCTTTTAGTCGCGTTTTGCAAACACCTTCCTATTTTTTATGTGTATGTGTGTGTGTGTTTGTTGTTGTTTTTTTTTTGTTTTTGTTTTTTTTCTGTGTTTCAAAAACTCGCATAGTAACTTACATGCATGCCTTTCCAGCTGGATAACTAATTATTATTATTATTTATATTTATGTTTATGAAATATTCGCA